CAAAGGAGGGTGAGTGTGTACTTTCGGAGGTCGCAGGCTGAGGAAGATGAGAGATACAAAAAACTTGACGAACGTGTGGATAAGTTAGATAAAATTACAGGTAAGATGAAGTGTCGGGAAGACCTAAAAAGGGCCAGGCGCAAGGCATCAGTTACGCCTAGGTGGAGTTACAGAGTTGCTAAGGGGAGAGTGCGTAGGGCTGCCGATGAGGGAGATCCTGAATTGACCGGTACGTTGTTCACAGAGGTTGGGTGAGTAGGTGATGGTGAGGCTGTTGTTAGTGATGATGGAAATGAAGAGAGCGAGGATGGAAAGAATGTTGATGAAGATGAGGATATTGGCGATGAGGACGTGGGAGTCAATGTTGATGAAGATGAGGATGAGGATATTGGTGATGAAGATGAGGATAAGGCTGTAGTTAGTGCAGAGAGCGAAGGCCATGGTAAGGGTGTTGTTAGCGAAGAGAGTGAAGCATATGAGGCAGGAGGCGATGGTGAAGAGAGCGAAGGAGATGATGAGGAAAGTGAATCTGAGGGGTCTCCAGAGATTTTGGTGCCCTTGAAAGAAGGCGATGGTGTACCTGTTCAGTGGATAGAGAAGGGGATTGAAGGCGTAGGTAGCGGGGTAGTTTACCAAGGGACCACAAGCAAAACTTTGTATGTTACTGAGGACGAGGGTAGTAGTGATGGTAGTGTTGTTAAGAAGGCCGATGAGGAAGAGCTTTTGGAGTCGAATAAGGTAAGATTATATGTTTGTTGACATTTTTGGGTGGTCAGTGTGTTTGACGGTGTTTTTTTCAGGATTTTGTTGCGCTGAATATACTGGTGTAAGAGATTGTGCGCGGAGAAGGTGGTGAGGAGGTAATATTTTAATGGTTTTTGACGGTGATTCCACAAGTTGTTTAAATAGCGTTGATAAATTTTGTTAATACTGTTTTTGGCAATTGACGTAGAGGGGAGTTGCTGAGTCAGGTGAGAGTAAAATTGAAGAGGTAAGTGTGTTGTTGGTAAGTTGATTTGTTGTGGTTCATGTATTGTGGTTGTAACGGAACTCTGTGCTTTGTAGAAAAAATTGGGGATGGACCAACTGTAGGGAGTTTTGAAGGAGGGAGAATCTAACAAGGATATTGTTCCTGATGAGCAGGTGAATTTTTACTACACAAATAGCGGTAGTATGTTTTTTTAATTATTGTACGCAAGCGGTGTTAGTAGTTCGTAAGATGTGTACATGTGTATTTTTTTTTTAGGGTGTACAGGATGGTCTGGCGGATGTCAATGAAAGAGAAGCGGGTGAAGAAAGTGGGGATGAGGGTGAATTGTGTGGTGAGAAAGAAATTTTGGCTTGTGGTAGCGACTCGTCACCATGTCCACGGAGTGAGAAGCATAAACCGGTAGAATCGGAGGCTGAATTGGCAGCGTTACTGATGAGAAAGAAAGGGTATGGTGTTAAAACAATGTTACCGAATGTGGAAGACGGGACTTTGAGTTCTTTCAGAAAGTCCTAATACCGAATATTCAAGTGTAAGCAGTAATTTAGTTGTATTAGGTAGTATATAATTGTTTGAGATGACTAATAAGTAGTTGTGGTGGGGGACGCAGTTTGCATCTGGATGCTAGGAAGTATGATCTGAGTAACAGCTTTTTCTTGGACCTGGCTACACCTTGCAAATGGGTGTCGAGTTTGGCAAGTAGAATTGTGTCTATTTTTATCATATGGTGAATGGTTTTTAAATGATTGTACTTTGTGGACAGCATGTGGAGGCCATTGTGGATTATGTGGTTGAGAGGCATCTGGAGGTCCTGAAAGTGAACCGGGCTATGTTTCTTGCACCATGGTTTGTAGAGCATCTGTCAAGGAAAGCTAGGTCTTTTAAGGCAGCGAGGTACAAAAGTAGAGTGGTGGCTGATAAGAAGCTGGCCAGGTATTTAACTAAAGAAGGTCAGAAACTTGGGGTAGATGTTGAGAGGCTGTACACACCTATGATATGGGGAGGTCGTCACTGGGTGGGATTGCAAATCAGCATATCTGAATGGAGCGTAATGGTTTATGATCCGAACCCTTTGCTGAAAAGTATGGAAGAAGTCCAAGCATTGATGGAGCCTATGACGAAGATGCTACCTTTCCTTGTGAGGAAGGTGTGTGCACCAGAGTATCTGATGGGCCATGGGCTGGAACCATTTGAGGTGGGGAGGATGGAAGGTGGGTATGTGAACAGGCGGAGTGGGGATTGCGGTCCAGTGGCCATGAAGTTTATGGAATTAGATGCTAGCGGTGTGGAGGAACCTGGATTTGGTGACTTAAATGACAGTTTGGTGGACCGGTTTAGAAAATAATTTGTGATGAATATCTACAAAGATTGGGTTGTACCTCTTTACGTTGGTGGTTAAAGTGGTTAGCTTGTGGTGATGGTGTACTTTTGGGGGACTTGAAAGGTGGTCTCTTTGTTTTCTGATGGTTGTTTGTTGAACACAAGTTTGGTGTATTGTTAAGACAAGTGTTATGTGTATGAAATGATGTATTGGTTTATGTAAGTATCTTGAACACGGTTATGATGTATTTGTGTGTACGCTATGGGTTATCTGGTTTTTTTTCAGGTAAGTAGATTTGTGTTTGCAATTTTTTGGGTAAGCAGATTTTGTAGGCGAACATTTGTCCCTAAAAACTCATAGTAGTACAGAATATATGGGTTATTTTGGGACACGTAGTTAGTTGGCAATTTTTTGGAACACGTAGGGAGGTTGAGTAAATACATGATATAGTATACAAAACAAGAGTTTGCATAATAGAATACATTAGAGGGTAATAACATATTAATGCATCACGGATTAGAAGAGTTTGAGTGGATGCTTAAAAAGACTAGTACAGTAAATACGCTCCAATCCTAGGGTAAGAAGAGAAGAACCAAGGAGAAGGCTTTTGATAAGAAGTTTGTTCTTTTGGATTTCTTGTTTGTTGGTCAAACAAATCTTCATCAGCTCTTGAATCTCAGCTTTGATACTTGCTATGTCGGTTTCATGGAGACGAAGTTTAGGCAATCCATCTTGTAACTCTTCAAGCATGGCTTCCTCCACCCATTTGAATAAGTGATCCTTGTATAGAGAAGAGAGGATATGTGTACATTTTTTTGATAGTGGACGGGTCTCACGATGCGGTGGGGTGGGAGGGGCTGGTTGGGGTGTTTCTTTGAACGAGGACAGAGGTGTACACGTGGACCGGGAAGTTATGTGTACAGGTGTATCTCTGGTATGTTGTACAAGGGTACAATTGTTTCGGTGTACAAAGGGGGTGTTTGTTTCAAGTTTGGCATAAGGTGGCATCTCACCTGAAACAAGAACGGTGTGGTCAAATGCATCACCGGTGGTATAGTGGATCATATAGGGAGCAGTCTTAGGTACGTTGATACCTGCCATTGCCTCGGCCGCATCTGAACCACCAAGATGGTCATCAAGTAATGGGGACCAAACTCGTCATCATATCCAAGCGGCTGAACATGTCCAATGTCAGGAGGCTGAGAAAACTTAGAAGCAGTTTCGTCCTCCTCATCAGTAATCCAATTGTTAGGTATGTTGTCTGCGTCTTCTTTGAACATGTTTACTAGCATCTCATCCTCACATGAAAGTGTTTCATCTTGGAGCGAGAAGCGGTGGATTTTAGAGGAACCAGTGGAGTGAGAAGTAGGTGGTTTAGGCATCTCATCATTGAGGTCATCCTCGCCGAACAAAGAGAAGTTTTGTATATGAGACCGAGCTGTTGAAGGGTGAGCTGAGGAGGATGTATGAAAAGGTATGTGGGAATTTTTTATAGGTTGGTTAGGAGTGGTGAAGGGTAGATGATTCTCATCAACTTGGCTCATCTGATTTGTTGGCCGCAGTGCGTCAAAGGTGACGAACAAATTAATTCCCTTTTGTGCTTGAAGATGCTGGTAAAAGTAAGACACAAAACCGTTGTTAGTAAGCATGATGGGAGGTGTGGTGAGGCCGGTAGCTAGATCCTTCGTATTGGGAGGCCAATAGCTAAGAGCAGCGGTGCGTAGGGTGCGTAGGGCGTTGGAAGTCCCGAAAAATTCGGAAAAAAACATTGGCCAATAATTGAGACAGTGATATATCAGAAGGAAGCGGGACAATTCTTGACATATTATATGGGTCAACCGTGAAAAACCATTTCCGGTCAGCGGAGGATACCCACTCCCTGGCGATAACCATACAATGCTCCGCCATTGGAGAGAACTTGAAAATTAAAAAAAAAAAGGATTATCAGTTAAGATGGATTATAAGAAAATAAGCAAAGTTTAATAGGTTATGAAGATGACAAAACCTGCTGATTTTGTGATTAACCAGAGTGTTGTGTCTTCTCCTGTGGAAACTTCGATCTACATGATGAAAAGGTGAGCTCGGTAAAGATGAAAGAGGAGAAGATGAAAGTAAAAGAACCAGGACAAATCGAGGCCATCGATCTAAAAGTTACAGCTGCTGATCGGACAGCAACAAAACGAGGCAGATATCTGTCCCGTCCAGATGTAGAACCCTGAATCTGAGCCACACAATGGCAATATGAATCTACGGCTAGAAAGCAGTCCCGCCTAAATATTTGTTTAGTTAGGGAACATGTAACTATAAAAGGTCAGTTTTGTTCACTTTGATGTTCTGGTTAAGGGAAAGTGTCTCAGTATAAACAAGTGACTCATATGATATTAGTAAGTAGGAAAGTGACCCGTAATGTAAATATTTCCTTAAAGTACTATAATTAATTCCATCATGTTAACAAATATGAATGAAAATGACCAGGGAATGGCGTGATGCATTTAATCTAAAATCAAATAATTACTTCAAAAGTCTAAAATAAAACAAATGGATGTTCTTTGCTGTTTTGCATTTAAAATTTGAATAATATGATATATTCTTCAACCCATCATTATATAGACCCTTTATCTTGCAACTTTTTCCATCATCAATTCAAAGCAACTTGTGTTGACTGAATTTTTATTCAACCCTGTTCTAAACATGACTCGCTTCAGTATGGTTCTTGTCGTGGCTCTATGCCTCACTATCTTTGCCTTCCCTGAAACCACCGCGCAACTAAGCCGCAATTTCTACTCCCAAACTTGCCCCAACGTCGAACAAATTGTTAGAAATGTTGTTCAAATGAAAGTTAAGGAAACATTCGTCAGCATCCCTGCCAATCCACGCCTAATAACAAGGCGGAGAAGGATTATCCCGACAACATTTCATTGGCCGGGGATGGATTTGATGTGGTCATCCAAGCTAAGAAAGATTATCCCGACAACATTTCATTGGCTGGGGATGGATGTGATGTGGTCATCCAAGCTAAGAAAGCCCTTGACGCTAACCCTCGCTGCCGCAACAAGGTCTCTTGTGCTGACATTCTAAGCTTGGGCGCCCGAGATGTCGTTGTTGTTGTGAGTAATTAAAAAATCTATTTTTGTAACCAAATAAATCTTAACCCCATTTTAGTAAGTCTTCAGTATCTACCATTTTTCATACAAATTATTCATAGCGGCCAAAAAAAAAATCTCTTAAGTATACTGCATTGCTTGTTGAATATTGTATGAAAACAAGGTTTTACGCATGTGTAGGCTGGAGGACCATTCTATGAAGTTGAACTTGGTAGGTTCGACGGATTGGTATCAACTGCCTCTAGCGTCAAAGGGAACTTGCTGGGACCTTCCGACAACGTAAACAAACTTAATGCTCTTTTCATGAAAAACAATCTTACCCAAGAAGATATGATCGCTCTTTCAGGTAAAACTATATAATATACATATAACATTCCATGTATCGATCGAGTATGGCCTATTTATAGCACCAAAATGCATCTGCATCAAAATGATACGTACATTCACAATGTATAGCGGCCCACACCCTTGGATTCGCACATTGCAGCAAGGTCTTCAACAAAATTTACAACTTCAACAGTACCATCTCCGTTGACCCAACCCTAAACATGACATACGGTAAGGAGCTTCAAATGGCTTGTCCTAAAAATGTGGACCCGAGAATCGCCATCAACATGGATCCAGTCACGCCCAGAACGTTTGACAATGTTTACTACAAGAATCTTCAACAAGGAAAAGGTCTCTTCACCTCCGATCAAGTTCTCTACACGGACGGTCGCTCAAGGCCCACCGTTAATGCTTGGGCCAAAGACTCTCAAGCGTTCAACCGCGCTTTTGTGACAGCCATGACCAAGCTCGGCCGCGTTGGAGTTAAAAACAGCCACAATGGAAACATCCGTCATGACTGTGGTGCATTTAACTAGACATCAACATCATTTCTTTTCGTTTGACTAATCTTTCAACTTTGATTTTAGTTACGATGACCTATTCTGGTTTTTCATTGTTGTGTTTTTCCTCTATATTTTTAAGAAAATAGTTGTCTTTCCCTTATTGAGATTTGCTCTATTTTGTACCATTCACTTTTTCATGCATGAGCTATATATATATATATACATATACATTGTCAACAGTTTTGAAAATATCTATTCAATTCCTCGTTTATTTTCTGTACACTTAAGACCACATATCTATCCGTACCGACACAATAGCCAACGGTAATTATACTTTTGTGAGTGGCTAAGGCATGCTTGTTGACATCCAACGGTAACTTCTTGATATTAGCTTTGTTACTAGTGATGAGATATGATGATATTCTTTTTCCCGACACATATATGGAATACTTTGTAAATATAATCAGCCGAGTGATTTTTAAAGGCGCACAGCTGAGAGAAATTGTAGAATACTACTGCTGTTTTTTTTTTTTTTGTTATTAGTTTGTCATATTTTAATTAGGGTTGGCAAACAATGACTTGGACCGCGGGCCTGCCCGCAAAAGGCCCACTGCGGGGCGGTATTGGGCCGATTATATAGAAGCCCGTAATATTGCGGGTCTAGCGGGAGAGGCTTGTGCGGTAATGGGCCTAATGCGGGAAAGCCCGTAATCAGCCCGCGGGGCACTGAAAAATCCGCGTGTCTAGAGTCTTCTCTTCTTTTGTGCTTTGTGTTTTCACCTGAAAAAAAAACAAGAGAGAGATAGTGAAAGGCGATAACGGAGGTGACCTCCACCGACATAGGGAGCAACAAATCTTGAAAGATCGGACATGCATGTTGCCCGTTGATGGTTCTGGTTCGTCTTTATGGTGTTGCTGCTCAACGTAGACCTGTCAGGTCCTTTGATTTCCATGAGATGGCTATTACAGCAATATCTGACCTCGCTGTCCTGTTCGTCACACTATCTATGTCGGGAATGCTTATGCTGACCTCACTGCTTTTAATATACGAACAGGTTCGTTGATTCTCTCTGCAAGCGTATCATTAACAACAATGTTACTGTATCAAACAAGTGTTAAATCAATCATCTATGTTGCAGGAAAGCTGTTGGGAAACTATTTGGGGAAGTGTTCTGGAAGCATAAGATCAAGTAATAGCTTCTTGCGGTAATAAGATTCATTGTATTCTCCACATAATTTCGAAAATCCATATGCGTTTCAGTCTCATATGTGTGTTGTAATATTGAACTGTTCAGGGCTGGACAGATATTTACGGGTGTATGACGTGAAGACACGGCAGCTCATCTCTGCGGTACATTCCTCGACATGGAAACTGATGTCCTTTTGTGAAGTAGAGTCTCATTTAATCATTACTTTTTCTATTGCAGGTTTTCTTGAAGTAGCATCTTACAGGTCTTGTATTCGACACATGCTTTAGTGGAGAAGGTTGGTTTTCTTTTTCCCGTTTACATATCACATATGTTCATGTATTCCTATGTTAGTACGTTTGTAAGATAAGATGATTGGTTTATTATGGTGGAAGCAGAGATAGCTGTAGCAAACACAGTGGTCGAGGCTGAGACAGAAGAGAATATGATTACCATGGAGCAGGAAGATGAGGAGGAATAGAATGAAGATGAAGCAGAGGAGGCTCTTGTGAAGAAAAATAAGTCAAAGAAGCCGATCCTCCACCATCTGCTGGGATCTTCAGCGACAGGTTATGGTGTTGACTCAATACAAGGCACGTAAGGACCTCAACTTAGTAAGAAATTTACAATGTTAGTATTATGTTAACTGATTGATAAAAATTATCCTAAGGCATGTCTTGATTAGCTTAGAGTCTGGAGATAAGTTACAGTTAGATGAATATCTTGTTTGAAGTTGATGTCTTGCTTAGCTTAAGACCACTATGATGTTTGAATTCGTTTTCTTGCTTAGGACTTAGGAGTTAGGAAATATGAACTCGCTGTCTTGTTTAGCTTAGACTCTGAGCCTTAGGTTTCTTGTTTGAATTCGTTTTCTTGTTAAGCCTTAGAGTTAGAGAACGTGGTGTTTTACTGTTTTTGCTGCAAAATTTGGAAATATCTATTTTTACAAATTTTAATTGAAATAATTAGGATTTTTTTTTAAAAAAAAACTAACAAAGTTAACCTAGACTCACGGAACTAAGTCTCACGACATATTGTGTGCTCCGGAAGTTGAAAAAAAACCTAATAGAGAATTGAGATTTGAGAGGCCATGGGAACCGACAGAGACAGCCAGATGGATACTAACTTCCAGCCTTTGGATTCCATTGACCTCGAGAGTCAGCAACTCTTAGCACGATATGCAGTAGAAGCTGAGAATGATGCCGGTAGTCCTAAAAACACGCAAGGAAGCAAAGGAAGCAAAAGAAGGCTTCTCAATCTTGACGATGATGAAGATGATGAAGATGATTCTGCTGTTGAAATAACTCCACCAACCCAAGTTACTCAACAAAACCAGCCAAGCCAGCGTCGCAGACAAACCAGTTATGGAACAGCCTCAAAGAGACCAATGTTCCAGTCAACTATTGATGGGACCATTGGCTCGCCCTCACAGGCGCGAGTTAAGAAGAATTCTGTCCCTATGAAAGCTGTGATCCGTGGTGGGAGACGAACGGCAATGACTCAGGGGAAGAGGTACAAGGCTGCGTCTACTCAGTGGCAAAAGAAGAAGAAGAGCGAACCTGAGATTCCGGATTTTGATGATGAGTTCGATGAAGAAGAACTAGATGATGTTGAAACCGATTCTCAGAATAGGGAAGCTAGGCAGAGATCAGATGTATGGGATGATTTTAAAGTGGTTGTTAAACCCAATGGAGAGATGAAAGCTGCATGCAATCACTGCAAGAATGAGTATGCATGGCATTCCCATTCTCATGGAACAACTGGGTTCAGAAGGCATCGTGATAGATGTAGGCTGTATCCAAGGAATATTCCAAACCAGAAACAACTCAATGGCGAGGGGAAAGTACAATCCCGCAAGTATGATCATACTGTTTTTAGGCAGATGGTAGCTAAGACAATCGTCCAGCATGATCTACCATACTCTTATGTGGAGTATGAAAAGGTGAGAGAGACATGGAAGTATTTGAATGTTGATGTCAAATTCATTTGTCGAAACACGGCGAAAGCAGATGTGTATCGATTGTATGAGAGTGAGAGAGAGACACTGAAGAGGGAACTAGAGAGTCTTCCTGGACGAGTCTCCTTTACCTCTCATTTGTGGACGTCTCTGAAACGTGAAGGATACATGTGTGTGACGGCACATTACATTGATCGTAATTGGAAGTTGAACAGCAAGATCCTAACGTTTTGTGCTCTACCACCACCACATAATGGTATGAATGTTGCGACTCAGTTTCTTGACTCACTGGAAGAGTGGGGAATTGGGAAAAAGGTGTTTTCTCTCACTTTGGANTGCAGCTCACATACTTAATCTCATTGTGCAAGATGGTTTGAAGGTACTTGGAGGCTCTTTGCACAAAATAAGAGAGAGTATTAAGTATGTGACAGCTTCTGAAACTCGTGAAACATTGTTTGAAAAATGTGTTGTTGCTGCGGGTATAGAGGAGAATGTGGGGCTGTTAATGGATGTCTCGACAAGATGGAATTCAACAGTCTTTATGCTTGATAGAGCTATCAAGTATCATAAAGCATTTGTTAAGTTGGAGACATTTGATAAGAGAGGTTATAAAACGGCACCTACAACCCAAGAATGGACACAAGCTGAGAAAATATGCCGTTTTTTGAGGCCTTTTGCTGAGATCACACGTTTAATGTCAGGTTCTCATTACCCGACTGCAAACTTGTATTTCTATCAGGTTTGGAAGATCCATGACTGGCTTAAAATGAATGTGGAAAGCGAAGATGACATTGTTAGAGACATGGTGCCACCGATGAAAGAAAAGTTTGATAAGTATTGGAATGAAGTCAGTCTTGTTTTCGCAATGGCAGCTGTCTTTGATCCACGTATGAAGCTTCCAATGATCGATTTTTGTTTTGGGAAGCTGGACATGAGTACACGTGATGACAAGATGAAGAAGTTGCAAAAAAAGCTTGGTAAGCTTTATGCAACCTACGACAAAAAATCAAAGTTAAACTCACATTCCACAGAGCCACGAGAGACGGTTCAACAGACTGTTGCTGCTGTTGGAACAGTAGGGGAGTTTGAGAACTATGATGTGAGTTTTTTTTTTTTTTCCATAAGTTACATTCTGTTTTCAATTTAAAATAACAGCTAACTTTTTCATTTCTATATAGGATTTTTTGGCATTTCGCAAAGTCAGTGGCATTGTTAATGGAAAAACAGGTCTAGAATCTTATCTTGATGAACCACCTTTGGACATGACTAGTTTTCGGAGCTTAGACATTCTCAATTGGTGGAAAGATAATGCTCATCGGTATGGTGACTTGTCTGCGATGGCTTGTGATCTACTTAGTATTCCTATAACAACAGTGGCTTCAGAGTCCTCATTTAGTATTGGATCGCGAGTTCTTAACAAGTATAGGAGCCGTCTACTTCCAAAAAATGTGCAAGCTCTGATATGCAGTAGGAATTGGCTAAAAGGATATGAAGCTTATGAACATGGTAAAAAGTTCATATTATCATATATTTTGGAGTCTTATGTTTCAATATATAGTTACTAACTTCAGTAACTCACTTGCAGAAGATGAAGTTAATGAGGAAGTAGAGACACTTCCATCATTTGAATCAATTGTGGGTGGTGAAGTTGGAGAACAAGAAGAGTGATTTGTTGTTATGTTTTTGTGTTTTTTTTTATTTACTTTTGGACTGGAAGCTTTCACAGTTTCACTTGGTGTTTGGTTTTATTTAAATTTGGATTTAACAATTTTAAACATTGGTTATGCGCTTTGAATTTATGAAAAACATTTGATTCACTTATCTTTCCTTTACGTACATTATGTAGCTGTGGAATGAAAGTTCAAGTTCAATCCTTTAACTTTAGCCTT